ACGCTCTTCCCCTCAGGCGTGCTAGGCACTGAGTGCTCCTGCTCTGCCACTGAGCCACACTCCCAGCCTTGGGACTGTCTCTTATCCTAACTCCGGATGAGGTCAGGGCTTTGCAGCTGAAGGGAACCTGGATGATTTAAATAAGGAGAGCTGTGGGTGGTCTTCAGTGATAGAATCAGCTCAGTCTGTTTAAGGGGAAGTTCTCTGCCAGCTTTGGGAGCTTCTCTAGCCCCCTCCTCAATATGATAACAGTGATAACCATTCCCAGAGTTGCAGTGTTGAGTTTACTCTGTGCCAAGTATTAGTGCAGTGTATGTGGATTATCTCATGTGATCTCCCCAGCCCTGTGGGGAAGGTAATCATCCTCACCCTTATATTTGTGAGGTTTTTGAAAACTCAGCAAGGGTGTGTAGCGTGTTCACTGCCACACAGCTGGCAAACTGTGGGGCCAGGATTTAAATGCAGTGATTGTGAATAACAGCAGGCTTTTATTGAACACATACTTGGTGCCAGGCCCTGCTAGGTGCTCCCCATAGATTATCTCAGTTATCTGTCTAGCAGCTCTGTGAAGTAGGCACTGTTAATATCTTGTTTTACTGCTGAGGAAGTCCAGGTTGACAGATTGAAGTAACTTGCTAGAGTCCTTTCACTGGTAAGTGACAGAGCTGGGGTTTGAGTCAATCTCATTGCCCAGCTTGAGCTTTTGCCTGCCATCCCAAACCTTCCCTCACCTGGCTGCTTCAATCCCACCTCTTCCTTCTGAGTTTTGGTTCCAGAGGTCTTGATGTTTTTATGGCTGGTCTTTTCTCTTTTGCTGCCCTACCACATTGTACTAGAGGGACTCCTATTTTCCCCTTTGTCTGTCTCTCTCTCTCTTCCTAATTTCAGTTTTGTGCTCTTTAATTATTTAAGAATTTTCTTCCCATATTTCTGGTTTCCCGAAACAGTTTATACCTATGACTCAGGATGTAAGGAATCCGCCAGCCCAGTAAGTCCATGCTGCCCAGGGTCTTCTTCCTGTCCCTGCGCCAGTGCTGCTTGTGGTCGTAAGGTGGAAGTTAGAAGTTAAATCCAGGGCATGTGGATTCCTAATCTTCACATCCCTTCCTTATCTTTTGCAGAGCTTTGGTTCACAATAAGAATAATTGAAGTAATTTGGTTTAAATCATGGTATGCTAGATAAACCTCTGCTTTTGTGAGTCTCAGACTTGCCCTCTCCTACTGTGTTGACAGTACTTGATGAAATGGAGCTGCAATTACATTTCACTCTGTTTTTTCTCCCCTAGCTTAGAAAATAACAAGCTTTAAAAGTTGAATCCTTAGGAAAACCATCCAATTTTCCATTGCTTAAGAAAAAAATATATATGTTGGCAATTGATAGCCAGAGACCCGACATTCTTATAAGCTTTGGGGTATTTTACTTATTATGTTGGGCCTTGAAGAAAAGAAAGGAGTCTTATGAATTTAAATGTTTCCCAGAATTATTGCATACATTTATTAATTTAATAACTCTTAGTCCTAGTTGAAAGACTTTCAGAATATTTAAGTCTTGCAGTGCACAGGGCTCAGGGACTGTTGTAACTCCTGGGGTTATGTATGTCAGGTGGGCTGTTTGGAGAACCTTCTTTGAACCTTTATCCAAAAAGATAGTGTGTTTGTGAATGGTAGAGAGTTTGTGGCAGGATTTGAATTCAAATCTGTCTCCAAAGCCTGTTTTTTCCTACTACTCTGTGAGTAAATGTACACGGTACACATATATTGGTTTTCTGTTTGAGGTATGTGCATGGTTTTCACAGACGTGTAAAGTGTCTCTTCCATGTATTGGGGCCTTTTGGATATCACACGATCTGAACTAATTGCAGCAGTAGTAGAAGAGCCAAAGTTCACAGGGCTGGCTTCAAGCCTGACACTGAAGTGACAGTAACTGATAGTTAAGCCTTGGAGTGGCTGCCCAAGCACAGATGCACAGAGACGTGAATTCTGATCCCAGGTATGACTCGGTGCGAGCTGCAGTGTGGGCTGCCTGGCATTCTTCCAAACCCATTTAAACAAATTATTTCCAAATTGGAAATGGCATCCCTCTTCTAACTATAAAACTGAAATGCATATTGTAGGAAGTTTATTTTTACTTTTTATTTATTTATTCATTTTTTGGGGTCCTGTGGATTGAACCCAGTTTTTTTTTTTTTTTTAAACCACTGAGCTACATCTCTAGTCCTTTTAATTTTTTATTTTGAGACAGGGTTTCACTAAGTTGCCCAGGCTGGACTTGAACTTGTGATCCTGCTGCTTTGGCCTCCCAAGTTGCTGGGATTACAGACCTGTGTATTTTTTCTTTTCTTTACCCAACATTCTTGCCACAGTAGTATATATAGATGCACTCAGTCTTTTTTATTTTGAGACAGTTGAGTCACATGTGGTATAGATGTCTGAATTCTTTACTCAGTTGTCAAAGGTAGCATCACCTCCCAGGTCACATAGCTGAAGCTGGCCTTGAACCCAGGGCTCTGACTCTCTCCCTTTTGAGCTCAACATGTTTCTACACAATTGGCAAGGGTGGTTTGTTTAAGATTATATTTGGCCTTTAGCTTGTGACCATGTTTAATTGGACCAAATATTTGCCATTGAGCATCATTCAGAAAAAGGTAGAAAGCCCTCCAGAGAAGTAGATTAAAAAGCCATTTAAGGAAAATTCAACGTGGACAGTGTTATGAAATGAATAGAATCAATGCATTTAAATTCTTTAAGCTTAGATATTTAAAGAAGTTTCACCATTCCTATTTATGTGGAAATCCCGTAGAACTCTCCTCGCTTGATAATAACTGTTAATATCAAAATTAGGCACATTTAACAAGTGCCTAATTGATGTTCCTGTCTCTAACCTCCACCCCCACCCCCAACTCATTCTCCTTGTTTTCATTCTTCTTCCTTCCTTCCTTCCTTTTCTTTTCTTTTTTCTTTCTTTCTTTTTTTTTTTTTGAGTTCATTGGAATCCTCACTGCCCTGGGCAGGGCAGTGCAGTGCTGTGGAAAGAACACAGGCCCTGAGTCATTTGAATCCCAGATCTAGTCACTGTGGTCTGAAGACAGACTAGTCATTTAGTAGTTCTCAACTTGTTATTTAAATGGGCACAGAAATGTGTACTTTTGCAGTTGGTATGAAAAAGAGAGACACCCTGTATGTAAAAGTGCTTGTTTAGCTCCTTTTATAAAATCAGTGCTTAATAAAGCACAAAAGGGGAGTTGTAACTGTTGTTCAAGAGGAATTTTAACAATCATTGTATACTTTCTTTTGTTTGTTGAGTTTAAACATTTTTTGTTGGGGGGGGGGTATTGGGGATTGAACCCAGAGTTGCTTACCCGTGGAGCCACATCCCCAGCCCTTTTTATTTTTTATTTTGAGACAGAGTTTCACGGAGTTGTTAGGCCCTTGCTAATTTACTGAGGCTGAACTTGAATTTGCATTCCTCCTGCCTACGGAGTTACTGGGATTATAGGAGTGCATTACCATGCCTGGATGTCATAGACATTTAAAAAAATATTTTTGGCCTTTTGACCTAGGTTTCCCACTTTTTATTAATTTCCAAAGAAATAAAACCGGAAGCTTTCATAAAGTTACATTGCAGTTTGATTGGTGCTCACTCTCATTTCATGTTGCTCTGTGTCAAATAAGCAATTAGGGGAACATAGGCCCGATGACTGGGCTTTAGGTGGCCCTCAAACAGCAGAGGTCTGTAGCCCCCAGGTTCACCGTGGTTGTAGTCCACTTCCTGAACAACTGGGTTGACACTTGAACACCTGTGACCTGGAAAGGCCAAGAAGCTGGAGCTATTATTCGAGTCTGAATTGTAGCTTTTGAGAATTCAACTGTCAGCTCCTTTTGAATTCTTAATTTTGCATATTAGTCAAAGTAAAAGAACAGATTTATTAAAAAGTTTTATTTTCTCCTGATTAGAAGATTACATATGCTTCCACTCCCCCCCTGATTAGAAAGAAAAAGAAGAAATCTGGAAATGACCCACTCAATATTGATGTTTTAATGTGTTTCTTCTAGACTTTCTTTTATGTATAGATTTTTTTTTAGATCATTTAAAATTAGGTTTTTTATTTTTTTCATATAACACTGTAACTTGGATATATTCCCATGTTATTGATTCTTTGCAAATGTAGTTTTCAGATTTCATTGTGTATATTCATCATACTTTATTTTTGCATATTTCTTTCTTATTTTTTACTGTTATAAGTAATAATATAACATTGGTCCACTTTATGCTTTGAATATAACCCTTGCTGCTCTGCCACTGTGTCATTTTTCAAAGGACATGTTTTTTTTCTCTTCTCTCCTTGCTTCTCCCTCATCTCAGGGGAAACAGGATCACCTTCCTTCCCCATGCTAGGCAGAGGTATCTGTCCCTGAGCACACACCCACCGTAGGAACAAAGTCATGCATACTCTGGGGGTGGAACCAAAAGATCTCAGAAATGACTGTCTCCCAAATTAACAAGTGAATTACAACTGTGGACAGAGAACATGTGGAATGTAGCCTTTGGATTACCTCTTTAAAAATCCTCTGTTCCCCTTGATGGGCAAAATCTCAGCCTTTGGGACAGGAATCCTCTGTGTTTCTCCTTCCCTAGCAAAGCGATAAAATTTCTTTTTCTCAAAATGTGTCCTCATTATTAGATTGGTATTGGGGACAAGGACTGATGAATAACTTTGTAAATACCCTCCCTTCTCCATATTTTGGGATCTTCTGAGATTCAATTCAAGGAATGGAATTACTGGGATGAGTGTGAACGTGTTTATGCTATACAGATGTACTCGATGTATGTATCAATCTGTTCATCTAGGGTTATATTTATTTACATTTCTCCCAGTATATTTCCTGGCTTCTGGGTGTTACCAAAAGCTTGGTCCTTATCCCTGATGCCAATCCAGTAACGAGGACCCAGTTTTGAGAAAAAGAAAAAGTTTTTATTGCTTTGCCAGCAAAGGAGAAACATAGAGGACTCCTGTCCCAGAGGCTGAGATCCAAAGGCTACATTCCACATGTTCTCTGTCCAGAGTTGTAATTCACTTGTTAATTTGGGAGGCAGTTATTTCTGAGACCTTCTGGTGCCATCCCCAGAGTCTGTATTACTTTGTTCCTGTGTGCTCAAGGACAGATAACTCTGCCTGGGATGGGGAAGGAAGGTAATCCTGTTTCCCCTGAGATTAGAGAGGGGGAGGGATTAGGGAGGAGCAGGTAGAGAAGAGAAAGAAATATGACCTTTTAAAAATAAGTCACAGTGGCAGAGCAGCAAGGGCTATGTATATCTCAGAATAAAGTGGACCACTGTTCCATGATTGCATGTCTGGCTATTCAAGAACAACTATGAAGAGTTGTGCCATTCACACAAGTTTGCCAGCCCTGAGTATCCCATTAAAACAGTCTTGCTTGATATCTGAGAACTTGTTTTAATTTGCTCTCTTTAATTATTGCTGGGTCATGGCTTTTTTTTTTTTTCATGTTTGTGATCACGAATGCAGTTTTTCAGGTGAACAGTGTATTAATGAAATAAAGGTGTTCTTGACAAACTCTTGGACTTTGCTGAAATTATAGCTTTTCAAAGTGACCTTGGAACTACCATGCTGACCTCTCCTTGTCGTCCTCTGGATTTAAGCCATCTTAACAGCTAGTGCTTAGATCCATCACTGCTTTTCAAGTGAAGCTGTGAAGCTACTGATTTTCTTCCTTTTTAAAATGACATTTTTTTTGTCATTATGAAAGTAACATGTTCACTTACCTCAGAACATTTGAAAATATAGAGAAATGAAGAAAAAATAAACTATACCTACTATATCTTCACCCCACTAAAGTTAGTTACTGTTAACATTTTGTGTTTTCTTTTGTTCCAAAATACTTCTTCTACACAAGTATAGGCTTTCTTTCATATCTGATCATAACATAAACATCCTCTGTTAGTCCAAAATCTTCATATTGTTTGTGCTTTGAAACCTGAATGTTGTCTATGTTAATCTTTCTCTTTTCCTTTTTCCCCCCAAGGCGAAAAAGGAACAGATTTCCTGGTTTGTTTAATGAGGCATGAAAATCAGCTCACCCCCTCTCTTCTTTTCCAGGGCTCTGAAGGCTCCCAGGCTGCTCTGACAGAAAAGGAAGCCCTCTTGGCGGAGCTGCGCTCAGAAAACCTTACTAAGAGTTCGGAGAACCACAGACTGCGGAGGAGCATTAAGAAGGTCACTCAGGAGCTCAGTGACCTGCAGCAGGAGAAGGCGAGACTGGAGAGGGACCTGGAGGAAGCCCGCTGCGAGGGGAGCAGGGGAGCCCGCACCATCCAGGTGAGAGGCGCCCGGCCCCTGGTGGTGGATGGTGCGTTTGGCCTGCCTTGTGCTGCTGTTTGGGTTGTAGGGAGATATTCAGTGCAGAAAACAGAAAAATGGGAAAAAAATACAGAGAATCTTCACTCATCATCATCTCACCTAGAAACCACCAGTCTTAACTATCTGCTGTTGCAGTCCTTTTAGTTCTCTCTTTGCCTCTCACTATTGGTATCAAGGTGAGAATGCGGTCTGTAGGCCCTTTTTGATTCAGTGTTGGTTCTTTGCATGATTGTTCTTGAGAAACACCGTTTTTGTTTCAGCGTGGTTTTCCATGACTCGGAGGTGCCGCAGTGTGTTGAATAGTCCCTTAGTGTAGAGCCTTTAGGTCGTTTTACTTTTTTTGCCTTGTAACAAATGCTGCAGCAAACATCCTTCTACGTGAGTATTTACGTGAATAATATTCAGTCATTGATTATTTTTGATAAAGGTATAATTACTGGATCAATCAGGGAATATTTTAAAGACTTTTATAGACTCAAATTGTCCTGGAACAAAGATTGTCCCAGGTTTCTCTGTGTCATCTTTTTAAAAGGCTGCATTCCATTCAGCATTGGGTATTAGCATCTAAAAATTTTCTGTCAATTTGGTAGGCTTATTAAATTTCAATTCTATCAAAATTTAAGTATTCAGCATCTTTTAATTTAATTCCTCCTGAGAGTCACAGCCAGACACCCAGCCTTGGTGCCATCAGACAGGACAGGGCCTGAGTCGGAGTGATCACTGACACTCAGGTTAATTAAATTACCTGCTCCAGAGCCAGGCAGTCGTTAGAGCACAGGGCTCTAAAGAGAGCGTTGGGTATCACTGGTTTGTTCTCTGGGGTTGCTTTTGGCAGGGCTGCCAGGATTAGGTGAAATCCTAATGTTAAGACTGAACAGAGATTTGAAGTACAAATGTTTGTGTATTTTAATAACATTTTTAATAACCATTAAGAGAGCAGTAATGGAAGTTTAGAGAAATAAGAAAATGTCAGCTACAACTTTACCACCTTAACAAAGCAATGCTGTTTCCAGTTTTCCCCTCCAGTGGGGATGCTCCTGGGCTCTGTCTAATCAGAGACTAAATCCTATACTGTGTTTTTGGAGCACTCGCTCTATCATAGGCAACTTCCTTCTGCGAGGCTCCACAGTGATCACGTGCAGCGGTGCGTACTCTTTCACTGATGGCTTTCATGTGATGACTTAATGATTTCCTCCTTTGTTGGATATTTCTGCTGTTTAAATAATGCCACAATGAATATCTTTGGGCATAAAATCATTTTTTTTCTTGAAATCCCTCAGGCAGATTCTGAAGAATGAGATTACTAAGTCATATGGTGCAAATCTTTATATTGGGTAATTATGCAGCCAGATATTAGTACAGAGGACTGGCTCAACTCAGGCTGCCACCAGCAGTAGTAGAGTATACCAGATTATTGCCTGCCATGAGCAGGCCGGTTTCCGAATTTGTCAGTGTTATTGAACATCAAATGCATCTGGTTTAGCTGCTGAGGGGAGGCCAGGGAAGCTTCTGAAGGTTTTACTTTTCTAAGGAAGATGAAATCTTATACATGACAAAGTGTAAAGCAGTTTACCATTGAGACTGAAGAATGAGATTACTAAGTAACTTACTGTATACTTGTGTAGAAGATCCTAGTGGCCTGGAGTAGCCAGGGAGACCTTCTGGGAGGAGATGACACATGAGTTGAGTGACGGGGTAAGACTGGAGTAGTGTGCCTTACGAATGAGGCAAAGAAAAGCCTGGCCAGAGGTCCTTTATGGAGTTGAAGTTTTCATGGTTCATTCCAATGTTCTTCACTGTTGGATTCTTATTTATTTATTTGGCTTAAAATAGTCCCCTGCCCCTGTCATCATAAAAGTGCTTATTTAGTAAAATTTGGATGGTGGGCAGGTGGGGAGATACATGCACACATGTAATTATACATTCGTATATATACTATGTGCTTCTTTTTTTTTACCTTATCATTTGGTCAGCATTTGAAATCTCTCTATAACATTGTTGGATCCATAATTCACTTATTCATAAAAACCCTGGTGCTTCTAAAAGAATTTTGCTCTGCTGCTGACATAAGATGCACTTCTGTATAATATGTGTACATTTTCATAAGGAGGTTAAAATATTTGGCAAGGACTGGGGGGCCAGGATTGTGCTAGGAAGGGGTTGGGCAAGTACACTCTGAGGGGGCTCCTTGGAAGCAGCAGGTACCTAGCTGACTGGCTTTGGTGAAAGGGAAATGCATTGTCTTGTGTAGTGAAGTTGCTGGAAGGGCGGACGTCTCTGAGAGATGGCTGCTTTTTCTTGCATTGGTTAACTCCAGGTCCAAGTAGTGGGACCCGTCGCTGCCAGCCCTGCTGGGATCACAGGACGGAGGACTCTCACACTCCACTACCCCACGGTCTTCCTGTCAGGATGGCTAGACAGGTGAGGTACTGAGAAGCCTAGCGTGGGTCATATGCCATCGGCTTTGACCGGAGTGTGTGTGTGTGTGCACATGTGTACACCTTCATTGGCAGCCTCTCTAGAGCCACATATTTGGAGGCAGGCGAGAAGGCGCCTAGGAAGTAGTACTTGGTTGCAACGCCCTGTGCCAAACAAAGCAACAGCTGTGCAGGCTGAGTGCTTCCCTCAGATCCGCACTCCTGGGGCTCAGAGCTTCCTGGCTTCTCATCAGGTCCTACACATGTGTCTGACAGGATGATTTGGGAAGGTGTTCTTCATTTCGCATATATATATTGCATCCCAATGGTATGTCTGCTTCACTTCTGGTTATAGTCTAAGAATTTGGCTGTGTCCATTTCATGAGAATGTTTTGCATCAGATTGTAGGGTGTAGATTCTGGGGAGACTTGTTGGGGTGCCAGTTTTGCTTCCTGGTGAAGGATAGGCACAGGTGGAGCATAACCCTCTAGCCTTGCATATCTCATCAGCTGTTTCTGTTTACTAGGCTCTTTAATTAATTAACCTGAGTGCCTCCCACTTGCCAGCTGCTACTGGTGTTGCTTTTGGTTTGAAACAATGGGACAAAAACCCAGTCCTCTTAGTACCTCTCCTTCTTCCCTGGCAAAGCAAAGCGATCATTTATACATTTGGCAGCATTGGATCCATTGTACAGGCCCTCTCCTGGCTGTGGGCACGATTCTACAACAGAGATGGGGACACACTACCCTGGGAGCACGGAGAAAGGAAGTGGCTTATAGGACCAGAGAGGGTTCCTGAGGATTGTAACTTTGGAATTGGTCTGAAGTTTGAGCTGAAGGTCAACAAGTAGGTGCCGCTAAGGGGGATTTTGTACTGAAGGCAGAGGAACAGAATATGATTTGTTTGGAGAAGAGGAATTTGGGGCTGTAATGAAGGGCAGTGGCCTCTAGGGCCATGGCTGGAGATTATCTGGAGGAAAGTTGGCCTTCAGAGGGCCTGGGATAAAGAGTTTGGGAGCTTGGACCTGACCTCTAGATTGTGGAGCCCCGAAGAGGGGAATTAAGCAGAAGATTGACAGGATTAGATTTGCAGTTTAGAAGGACCTGTGGTCTGGATGGCCAGAGGATGGATTGATGAGGGACAGCTGGGAGATGAGAAAATGAGAAGATGGAACAGCTCTTTCCCTGACCTGTTAGCCAGGTCTGAGAGGCCAGAGCGCCGAGGAGGAGAGCAGGAACCTGGCCCTGCGCAGGCTGCGCAGCTGTGGCTCCGCGCGCTGGGGCACATTCACAGTTCCCCTGTGAGGACTCCCGTGCTCAGCTTTGGGTCTCCTGTGCTGACTGGAACTTTACCGCGTCCCACAGGCAGGCTGAGGAAAACACTGGTAAGAAGATGTCCAAAGCACAGTGTTGCTCTCAGTCCACAGTCAGCCCCGTTTTCAACACTTTCTTTAGTCAAGGAAACTGCTCTTCAGTGATGGAAGCGCAGCAGGCATGATCTCTAGTTGTTGGTCGCACCTTGTAGTTTATAGCTGTTCTATTTTCTCATGTGGCCCACAACCTTGTTTTTGAGCCAGAGAATACTATTTCCATTTTAGAGATTCATCTGAGCCTCATAACTTCAGTGGCTTGACCATGGTTTATATATGTGACATGGACCCAGGTCTGTGGACTCTTCATTTCAGGAGTTTGCCTAAGATGTCATGTCATGGCAGTGGCGAGCCACCAGTTAAGAACCTTGTGCTTTTGGAAGAAAGGAATTTTACATATTCAGCAGACCAGCAAATTATGCCCTTAAGAAAACCAACTTGATGTATTCTGATTATTTGGAGCCTTGAAAATTGTAATTTGTTCCTTTCTCTGTTTCAGAAACATTTGTGAAGGTTTACAGAAGGTTGTAAAATTCAATGCAATTAAAAATAAAGGACTCAGGGTCAAGGGAAAAACAGCTGCATGGCGAAACAGCAGCATGGAGCAAAGAGGGAACTTAAAATTCAGCTTGTATCTCCTGGCAGGGAGGGTAAAAAGGGAAATTCTGTCACAAGGTCGCCAGTGCCTGTAAGAAGACCATGTGAAGATGATTTCGCTGCCACTGGGGCCTGCAGGAGGAATCGCCTCTGCGCTCTTGTGAGGTGAACTGTGGTGTGCAGAGCCCTGCGCAGCCCCCATTCCAGCAGACAGCTCTGAACAGGGCTGGTCAGCTCCGCCCACGGCACCGAGCTTGTACACATTGAGGTTTCAGTTCCTGGGACTGATATAGCTGTTTATTTCTCGTTATCTCTTTCTTGGACAAGAGCTTCAAAATCAGTTGGAAATACTGCAGCCGGGTTTACAGATGAGGCCTGACTTCAGGTCTGAATAGAGGACCATATTGGGTGGTTCTAGTTTCTGTGAAAGTCCATAAATTCTTTTGGTTGTGATCAAACTATCCTTAGCTCACGCCAAAAGCATTTGTTGCCAGTCTCATTGTGCCAGGTCTTAGGCATTTTGGGGGAGACAGTGCTTTCGCTGGAAGCACAGTTTGGATGAGAGGCAGATGGCT